CTAACCAAAAAGCAAGCAATTAACAATGTTATTAAATTTGAAGCTTCAAGATTTATCCAAAAAGTTATTAATCTAGAATCTGAAGATGAGGCAACCACAGTCTAGAAGATGATACCTAGAAGGATCTAGGTTTGGACGATGATGAACAGATGAGAGACACAGAATATATTTTCATTAACCTTTTAACCAAATTGGCAAATTACTTTCCACAGAATGTTTGGAAGTACAAACAAACGAACCAACAGTTAGCTGTATTAAAACCCGAAAGAGATAATAATAACAACGATAGCTAGATACGTGATATCCTATCAAAAAATAAAAATGAGCCTCAAGATAGGTAAGTTTGGTCATTTTAAATGACTCATTTTCCTCCTATCTAATTCATGCAAGATTCTTAGATTCCACCACAGTGGCAGAAGAAAATTAGGTGTAGTTTAGTCTTTTTCCTCGGTTGATCATCAGCTTCTTCAGTCACGATCGACGTTTCTTCTTCAGCGTCGGTAATCTCAGAGTTTCCATCTACACTTGTGCTTTCACCTTCTTCATATGATGCATGCCTTTTCTAACGAGGACAGGACACTATATGGACATTGTGCCTATTCAGCTTTATAGATTGTTGTGCCCAATGGTTTGCTGTTGTCAAAGGAAGACAATAAGACTCATCAATTGCCGACAGATTCTGCAAAAAAGAAAAAGACCAACAACGGTTTAGATGTGACCAAACCATTTTCCACAAGCATCCTACATTTTTATCCATAAGGATTGGAGAAGTATCAGAACAAAGGGGTAATAGATAAGATTATCGATGATAAACATTCTGAATTAGGTTAACCTTGTTTGGGAAAGTGAGTTGGAGACTCAAACATTTCACAATTTAGGTATTCGATTGTGCTTTCTTGAGACTCTTCCTCTCCTTACGGTCCAAAGCATTAAGTGCCTTTTTGCTAGCAGGATGGATTAACAACATATGGATGACTTGTACAACTTTCGTTATCTATAAATATATGGTTGTTTATTATATGGTTGAAGGTTACATTGGAAGAAACTCAAGAGGGAGACTTTCTCTAGTGTCTCAGCTCAGAAATGCTGGGAAATGGTGTTGAAGAGAGTTAACGAAGAGATCTCAAAACGCAGCAGCCAAGAGAAAAATGTCTATACTTTGGAAAGCATTGATGGGCTCAAAATGTTTGGTCAAAGGTTACATTGTTTATTATATGGTTGTGAATAACCTTCAACCAAACATTTTTAGCCCATCAGTGCTTTCCAAACTATGAACATTTTGCTCTTAACTGCTGTGTTTTGACTTGGTTAATTCTCTTCAACACCATTTCCCAGCATTTCTGAGCTGAGACTTTGAGAAAGTCTCCTCTTGAGATTCTTCCAATGTAACCTTCAACCATATAATAAACAACAATGTAACTCTGATGTTCAATTATTCAAACCATATAATAAACAGCTTTCGTTAGCTAATTATTCACATATTTCCGTTATCTATAAATATAGGTGAACACTGATTTATTCACACAATATTTTCATAAATGGTAAGCACAGTTGAGTCCATGAAAACCTAGATATTTAAAAAAACTAGAATAGACTCGATAGTTAAGAGTTTCAGCAAACAACAATAGATATTGAATTCGGGTATACAGAATCCATGAAAATAGATTATAAGAACAAGCATAAGAGAGAACGAGATATATATATAGTGAACATACCATGACAGGTCTATCAGACAGATTATACGGACAATGCATGATAGCCTTGTAGAACAAAACGTTATGGTGAATTTTTTTACTTAGTTCGTACGTGTGTTAGATGTTTTTTCCTCTAAAATTTCAATTAACGAATTACCTCCAGATGTAAAATAGCAAAACTATATGACAGGCAAGCAGGATGCCGGTCTTTAAACGCCTGCAATCATTGAATCATGCACATAAGAAAACGTCAAAATAAACAAAGATCACATCTTTTCACATGTATTTAGATGATTGTTTTACACGAATATCATGGGGGAATCCAACTCTGAATACATTTTTGCATGCATCATAACAACATATAGTATATCAAAGAGTTGAGTTGCTTACAAGGTTAGGTTTCGGTAACGGTTGGTAACGTGAGCACTATAGATCTTCCGAAGAGAAGCCAACCTGACTACATGTACACGATAGCTTCCTTTAAGTCCGTTGAAGGAAGCTACCGTGTATACGTAGTCAGGTTGGCTTCTCTTCGGAGGATCAATTGCGTCTCAGAAAGAACCCTAACGCTTTCTCTAAACATTCATGTGCTAAGATGCCCGCATACAACTCAAAATAGGCTCCTTCTCTGCCTGTAACCACAACAAGAGTCACCATTGTAAGACCCATCATTCACAATCAGAAGACAGCAACTTTATAAATTTAACACTCACCTCACATTTACACATCAAGATAATCTAAACCTCTAAATTATTGAATGAATTGGTCAATATGTGATGATGATCAGTGAAGAGATTGAAATTCGAGTCCTAGGTTTTGTCGGATTAAAAATCAAAGCTTTCAACGAGAGAAACAAGACTGGCTTATTCTAAAACCCTAATATATGGACACAGTTGAGTTACTCCTAAAATACAATAAAGAAACATGTTTTATTTTTTGTAAAAAAAAATTAAGAAACATGTTGATCTGTACGGATTAGGCCTGGGTGTTTGGGTTTCGGTTCGGATTCGGTTCGGTTCTATTCGGGTTCGGGTCTTTTCGGGTTGCTAAATTTTAGACCCGTTCGGGTTTAGAGAAATTTTGGTTCGGTTTTGGTTCGGTTCCTATCGGGTTCGGGTCGGTTCGGGGCTAAATGTTATGGACCCGTTTGGGTTTATACAAATTTTGGTTCTTATTCAGGGGTATCATTCGGTTCTGATTCGGGTTGGTTTTTATCGTTTTTTTAACCGAATATCTAAAATCCTATAAAATAACCGAAAATTTTGTCTTTACTCCATTTTCTACTAAATGTTTTTGGACTTTTCAAATATTTTGGTTATTTTGTTCTAAATATAACTATTATATTAGATTTTTAGTTGTAATTTTAGTTATTTTTATTATTATAAGTCTAAAAAATAACTAATATTTTTTATATATAATTATATTTTGGATATTTCGGGTATTTTTATTCGGTTCTCGGTTCGGTTCGGGTTCGGGTTCGGGTTTTTCGGGTATAAAATTTTTGGACCCATCGGGTATTTGTCTTTGTTCTGGTTCGGTTCGGTTCCATCTTTTTCGGGTCGAGTTCGGTTCGGGTCCTTCGGGTCCGGCTAAAACGCCCAGGCCTAGTACGGATAATCAAATGTGAATTAACATGCATGGAGACTCTCATTCAAACCATAAAAATCATTTATTTTTTATTGAATAAGAATGATTCAAGGAATTAATGATGCAGAAAAAAATCTTATAATTGAGTGAAAACCTCAACCAATCCAAGTAGGATCGAGAATACAATTCCCGGAACCAATCTTTTTTATTGGATTCCCTCGTCCGTGAGTGAATCCTCCGGAGGAGTCGCATCACATGCATACACGATGCAAGCATACATCGCGAGGAAGTTGAAGATCTAGAGAGAGAGAGAGAGAGAGAGAGAGGGGATTAGAGATGTATGGATTTAGAGGAGAGTGTGGGGATTTTATAGCACACAGCGAGCATCTTAAAAGTTTCTGAAAAAAAAAATTTGGAAATAAAAAAGAATAATATCTTGTAATTCCTTTAAATTGGGTGTATTGGCAAAAAAATAAATGGGAAGAAATCTAACAAAATCAATGGCAAAAACGTGTATGTGGTAGGCTTTTGTTTAGTCACACATGCCCGTTTGGAAAAATATCAAATCCGATTTTGTTTACTTGAAAAAACAACTCCAACTATGATTTGTTTTCTTTTTTGTTATGTTGAATTAGCTGTATTTGTACACACAAAAGGTTGAATTGACTGTATTTGTACACACACAAAAGGTTCAATTAGCTGTATTACCAAAAATTACAAAAAAAAAAGTGACGTGGAAGTTCCACCCACATCTTTTTACCTGGTCACTTATTTACTTTGTGATTAACTGCTTCGTTTTGATCATTGTTTTTTTTTTTTTTTAATTATTGATCATTGTTTTTTTTTACTTTTGGAATGGCATGTTTCAAGGTCTTAGCTAATGGCCTATATCGATTGGAGTTGCCTAAGGTGAGCTGGAGAACACGTGAAGCTTCTTCAGCCAACGTTGCTCTTTCTTTTTTTTTGTTAAAGGCCACGATGCTCTTTCCTACTTTGATCTTCTCACTAAGACCATAACGCCACATCATCACTTCAGGTACATGGCTTCACAAATGTAGGAGATACATCTAGGTTATACTCTCCGTATGAACTCTTCCTTGTGTCACACTAGACAGCTTGTGTGACACTCCATGTACCAACTTTTTCATAACATCTTGATATAAATCAACATATTTATTGTTAGAGCAGAAATTAGCACAATTTCCCTGAGCCCGTCACAATTAATAATACTATGTAAGCCCGGCCCGCTTCCACTTCCACCTCCTCAAAGAAAAGGAAGTACTTGGAGAAAAAGACTACATCCAAGAAAAATAGAAGGAGATCAACGCCAAAGAAGAATATTTCCAAAAGAAATATGGAAGAATATCTTGAGGAAGCCAACCTCCTCTCCATATAAATAGAAGACCCCCTATTCCTTGAAGACCATTCAGAATCATTCATAATCACCCACAATCACTGAGAGCAAAGAGGCAAAACCCTAGTTATAATTCGTCCTTTGTTCTTAGCTTCTCTATTCTTTTCGTATTCGTCTCGTCAAGTCTTATCGTCGAGACGAATCACCCCTTGTATCATCTTTGTCTTTGGTTGATCTAATAAAGAGTCTCTCCTAAACCTCACATCTCTTATCTTACTATTATTGTGTGATTTTGAGATTCAACAATTGGCGCCCACCGTGGGGCTGGAGAAAAAACTCTGAAAAAAGTCAATCAAGGTTCAAAGATGGCACCTCCAGCTGATGATCCCAGCATCAGAACAGGCGGACTGCAAAGTCAACTCGGCGCAGATGGAAACCCCATCGTCCATCCCGTCGAAGTCGACGCGACCAACGGTCACGTCAACCCTCCGCCGCCACCGGTTCCTGACGTAGAAGCTCCCGTCACGACCGCCGCGTTAACCGCCGCCATGCAAGGCTTTGCTGCTCAAATTGCTTCTCAATTCGCCGAGATGCAAGCTCAGCAGCAAAAGTACAACGACAAGATCGACTCCCTCCACGTCACCAGCGACGGACGAGTCATCCCGACGGGACGAACTCTCTTCCAGACGCCGACAAGAAGCACCGCCGCGACTGGCTCCAATGCCGCGACGAATGGTGAGAAAGACACCGACCCGGAAGTGGCCAAGCTGCGCCGCGACCTCGACGCAATCAGCTCCAAAGTGCACGACGCTATCAGCTCGTCACCCGAGATTGCCAAAATCCTCGCCGAGACGAAAAGGAGTCCTTTCACTCGTCGCATCGCCGCGATACCTCTAAAGGATCAAACGGCTCTCCGTCTTCAGTTCTACAACAATGGTGACGATCCTCGAAACTGGCTAAGAAACTTCGAGATGGCCATGAGAAGGCAAAATATGCCTCCCCCGAAGAACAAGACGCAAATACTGTCAAGTGTTCATCGAGCACATGAACAAAGACGCGACGAGCTGGTTTTCGAACCTTCCCTGCCGAGACCATCGACAACTTTGATGATCTCAGCACGGCATTCATGAAACACTTTGGCATGTTTATGTCAAAAGGCAGCACCAATCTTTTCACTATGGCACAGGGAAAAGATGAGTCTCTTCGCAAGTTCGTCGAGAGATTCAAAACAGCAGCAGCAGAGCACTCAGACATCCCTGACGATGGGAATCAAGCTTTCGAAAACGGGCTTTGGTTCGAATCAAAGTTGAAAGAGAGTCTGATGCTCGACGAACCCGCAACCCTCCAGGACGCTTTGCACAGGTCCCAAAAATACGTCTGCGTTGAAGAAAGCAAGGCGCACCACTCAAAGATTCATGGAATGACGAAGAGTTGTCTCGTCAAGAGAATAAAAGGAAACCTCTCGACGAACAAGAGCGACGAAAAAGACAACGACGATAAGAGTACTGGTGCTTCCATAGACGAACCGATCATACTACAGAAGAATGTAGGCATCAGCTGATACAGAGTACAACAATACTCCGCAAAGCCAAATGATGCTGAACGCCGCGACGAAAATCGACGAGCTGCAAACCAGCGCCGACGCCGAGATCAAGATGACGACGCCGAGAAGAACGCGCCTGCATCACTCCCTCACCAAGATGATCTGCCTCCGCCGCCGAAACGGCAAGTCCGATAAACATCTCGGCATCAAACCGGTCTCAAGCACGAGACCGAGAAAACGAACTACGAATGGCTTGATCCCGGCATGGGTACGTAGGCAGCCTTTCCAAAGGTTCAGCTATACCCCAATAAAATTCTATAATCCGTCTGACGAGATGAGCATTGTAAAATTTTATTCACCTCCAAAGGTACACGTCGACGTTCTGGCCAAACCTCTCGACAACACCGATCTCGTCATCACACGAGATCGAGCGGTCTCGTCATCACACGAGCCCGAGAAAACCAACCGGTTTCGTCAAGCACGATCCCGAGAAAACGGTTGCCGAAGCGCGACCCCAACCGGTTTCGTCGAAGCACGATCCCGAGAAAACAAGTGTTGCCGAAGCGCGACCCCAACCGGTTTCGTCGAACACGATCCCGAGAAAACACCGATCTCGTCATCATATACGAAATCGAGCGGTCTCGTCATCACACGAGCCCGATAAGACACCGATCTCGTCATCATATACGAAATCGAGCGGTCTCGTCATCACACGAGCCCGAGAAGACACCGATCTCGTCATCATATACGAGATCGAGCGGTCTCGTCATCACACGAGCCCGATAAAACCAATCTCGTCGAAGCTCGAATCCGAGAAAAATCGTCACAGCAATCTATTCTCCTTGACGAGACAAAAGAGTCATCTCGTCAAGTCCGAGAGAAATTATCAAAAGCACATTCTATTTGCGGACAAGATTACGTCACTGTACTCTTTTCCCTTCTTATGGTTTTTATCCCATAGGGTTTTTCCATATCAAGGTTTTAACGAGGCAGTACGGATCTAAAGTCAATAACGCAACGCAGCATCACGTCAGCGCAGCATCGCGACAGCATCGGCATCGCGTCGGCATCACATAGTTATTATTAATTGCTCTTGAGCTCCTCTTTTATACATGAAGTTCGCCGAGATTAAATTGCATTTATCTCGCCAAACTGGGGGGGACTTATTGTTAGAGCAGAAATTAGCACAATTTCCTGAGCCCGTCACAATTAATAATACTATGTAAGCCCGGCCCGCTTCCACTTCCACCTCCTCAAAGAAAAGGAAGTACTTGGAGAAAAAGACTACATCCAAGAAAAATAGAAGGAGATCAACGCCAAAGAAGAATATTTCCAAAAGAAATATGGAAGAATATCTTGAGGAAGCCAACCTCCTCTCCATATAAATAGAAGACCCCCTATTCCTTGAAGACCATTCAGAATCATTCATAATCACCCACAATCACTGAGAGCAAAGAGGCAAAACCCTAGTTATAATTCGTCCTTTGTTCTTAGCTTCTCTATTCTTTTCGTATTCGTCTCGTCAAGTCTTATCGTCGAGACGAATCACCCCTTGTATCATCTTTGTCTTTGGTTGATTTAATAAAGAGTCTCTCCTAAACCTCACATCTCTTATCTTACTATTATTGTGTGATTTTGAGATTCAACATTTATCTTGTGTCTAAAACCTGCAACACTCCATACACTCACCATCTCTCCCTTCAATTTGTTACTGGGTTATAGAACTCATGCTCCCTTTGAAATAAACTAACAAAGATGAGAAGATTTTGTCAGATCGCATAACTAATGGTTTGTTGTTGGCACAGTAAGACTCATCAATTGCCGACAGCTAAATTCTGCATTAAAGAAAAAAAACAACAACGGTTTAGATGTGACCAAACCATTTTCCACAAGAATCCTACATTTTTATCCATAAGGATTGGAGAAGTATCAAAACAAAGGGGTAATAAATAAGATTATCGATGATAAACATTCTGAATTAAACTAATTAACCTTTTTTGGGGTAAGCGAGTTGGAGACTCAAACATTTCACAATTTAGGTATTCGATTGTGCTTTCTTGAGACTCTTCCTCTCCTTAGGTTCCAAAGCATTAAGTGCCTTTTTGCTAGCAGGTGGGATCTTCATCCATTTCCACCAACCATCACTTTTCCTGATCAAGTAAACATACATGGAAGAGATTACTTATAAGAATTACATGGTTTACTTATTCACAAAATACCAAAAAGTTACACAATTATTGATGGCTTTATACGATAACCAGCTAATCTAATGCATCTACAAGTTTTTATAATAAACTTTTGACATTTGTTTTTCTTAGTTGTATCAAATATAAAAAATATAATAATTTGACAAATATAAATATAGGTTTTATTAAACGTGAACTGATTTTTTAAACACCAAAAATATATGGATGAATTGTAAACGTTAAGAAAACGGGACCTTGAAAATAAGTACAACTTTAAACACCAGGATAGATTAACAACGTATTAATGGATGAATTGTACAACTTTTGTTATATAAATATATGGTTGAAGGTTACATTGGAACTTGGAAGAATATCAAGAGGAAACCTTCTCTAGTGTCTCAGCTCAGAAATGCTGGAAAATGGTGTTAAAGAAAGTTATCGAAGAGATCACAAAATGCAGGAGCCAAGAGAGAAATGTTCAATACTTTGGAAAGCATTAATGGGCTAAAAATGTTTGGTTTCCTTCAACCAAACATCTTTAGCCCATCAATGTTTTCCAAAGAATGAACATTTTTCTTTTGGCTGCTGCATTTTGAAATCTCTTAGTTAACTTTCTTCACCATTTCCCTGCATTTCTGAGCTGAGATACTAGAGAATGTCTCCTCATGAGATTCTTCCAGTGTAACCTTCAACTATATAGTGACAGAGAGAAAGGTGTTTAGAGATTAGAGATGTATGGATAGAGAGGAGAGTGTGCGGATTTTATAGGAGAGGAAATGTGTATGACCGTGTTTTAAAAATTTTGAAAAAAAAAATGGAAACTAAAACCAATATTATCTTCCAAAAAACTAAATGGGAAACAAATCAAAGAAAACTATTGGGAAGAAATTTTTGTTGTAGCCTTTTGTTTATTAGTCACACATACCAGTTAGGAAAAATATATAAACAGATTTTGTTTATTTGAAAAGACAACTCCTACTGTATTCATACACACACAACACAAAAGGGTTGAATTAGCTGTATTACAACCCACGTTGCTCTTTCTTTTTTTGTTAAAGGCCACGATGCTCTTTCCTGCTTGAATCTTCTCACTAAGATCATAACGCCACATCATCACTTAAAACACGTGACTTCCGAAATATAGGAGATACATGTAGATTACTCTCTTTATGAACTCTTCCTTGTGTCCCACCCGACAGCTTATGTGACACTCCCTCTACCAACTTCTTCATAACATCTTGACATAAATCAACATCTTTATCTTGTGTCTAAAACCTGTAACAAATATACTCGCAATCTCTCCCTTTGTTACTGGGTTATAGACACTAAGGAATCTAATACAGAGTTTTTAATCATGTCTCATAAACTCTGTGACTCTGTATCCAAGATGTTGCTACGAAACTGACCCCGTGGAAGGAAATGCCCAAAATGCAAGCAACTAATAAGTAAATCCGTAAATATATAAAAATTTGATGAGTTTTGGATCAAAACCCTCTAGATATGTCTAACGAGTGTGTCAGTGTCAAGTTTGATCATTTTCCTTGGTTGTTCATCAGCATCTTCCGTCACCACCGGAGTTTCTTCTTCTTCTTCAGCGTCTTTGATCTCAGAGTTTCCATCTACACTTGAGCTTCCACCTTCTTCATCTGATGCACTTACAGGCTCTGCCTCCTCTTCCTTGTCCTTCAGCGTCTCAATCACCGACATTAAATCTCTATGCACCTGTTTCCATGCAACAGTTACGTTTCAGAATCCAATGGCAATTTCACCAGACATTTCGAGATTGTCACTTTTCATGACTAAACGCATCAAATGACTAAGGTAATGAGCATTAACTGCATCAAGCGTGACCAATGCGAGAAGAAGAGATGATGATGATGTTTTTTACCTGAGTGTCCTTCTGAAGAAAATCAGAAATGTCGTTGGGGCAACAAGGACACTTCATGATGTTCTTCCTTGCACGAAGCGTGCGTGTGAAAAAGTGTGAATAAGATAATTGTGTGCGTACCTGTATTCCAACCTTGATCCAGCACTTCTCAACCCTATAAACCCCGTCATATCTGTCTCAGGCGCATATGAAGAAGGCTCTTTGAAAGACCGGTTTATTTATATATTTAGGATCACTTTATGCTCATAATCGACTAAAAGAGCTAACCTGATTATTGGTTTAAGATCGGTTTGCGCCCATGATTTGGTAGCATAAAGAACCGGTGTCACTTAAACCGGTGTGATCGAGAAGATGTCTCACGAGAGAGACACAAGCACTTCGTGTCTGTTCATGATGTTGGCGTTTCTCTGTTGCTTCTCTCTGTTTGTCTATAAAAGAGATAATGGCAGAGAGACATGATCACGAAACCAAAACCAACAGTTGGTGACTGTTGTAACAAAGACGCAAAACAGAGAGAATAACGAGAGAGAGAGAGAGAAAGCTTTGAGACATCAAGAGGAAAGGCACTTGAACTGTGGCAAGAGGAACACTTCCGTTTGTGATATCTTCCCGATCTCTGCATCCATTCTCAGTCGAATCCGTGACAAGTACGTCACCGAACCGACGAAGGTACGATACTCTGTTTTACATTATCGCTTCCGCTAGTAACTCTAACATTGGTAGCAGAGCCAGGTTTCGTTTCTGGTATATATTCGTTCTTAGTAATCATGAATTGAAATCTATCTGTATTAGTTACGCTTATTTATGATGATTCAGAGATAACGTTTATTGCTTAGTAACTTGAAAAACGAAATTTGCTTAAGTTGTTAGAAAACCGTAAACATCGTTTCGTCGATATCTCTCTGTACACACATCGGAATTGAATGATTTAGATCTTTGTGTGTAGATATTGAAATTATCTTTCTATCGGTATAGAAATCGAATTATTTGGTCACGTATTCAGAGAGATATAGGGGTAGAAAGTATTCGCAGAATTACTGTTAAAATGATTGTGTTGTGAAGAAGATGAACAGTAACCGACGCAAGTCTGTTCCTGTTTTGTCTGAAAAAAAACAAACAATATCGCAAGTTTGTTTGTGCGATAAAAGGGATTGATCTCTGTATAACCAGAGACATGTTTTATTTGTTAATCCATGTTAGAAAATACATTGATCAAGTGGGAGTTCTATTGTGTTTAGAACTTAAAATTTTGCAAGTAACAAACTGATTTGCTGTAATGAGATTCTAATGTGAGTGATGATTGGGAACTTAGTGAACTCGATCTTATGTTGTGAATCATGTTATGTCAGATTAGTTTGTATTCGTTGCAAGATTATGTTATGTGTTAAAAGTATGTGAGAAACTAATGTCTCTTGATGTTGTAGCAGGAATGGTGTCTGCTTGTAAGAACATCATTGCTGAGCTTAACCGTGGAGACAAACTGGATGGTGATAATTATGATATATGGTATCGTAAAGTCCAGTACGTCCTCGAGGAGCAAGAAGTAAAAGAGACTCTTTTACATCTCATGGAAGAGCCTGAGCTGAGCAGGGCAATACTCCTCAACATGTGAGAGATCAAGAGGCATATAATGTCTGGAAAAGAAAGAACAGCATCGCTCGCATCACATTGCTGAGTTGTATGCAAGATGATCTCATGTGTGAGTTTGAAGAGTATGAAACTGCAAAAGGCATGTGGGAGGCCTTGAAAGAAAAGTTTGGTGCTACTTCAGCAACCAAACTTAGGAGACTCAATCAAAGGTTTGGTGTTAAGAGCATTGGACAATCCTTTGTAATTCTGTCTCTATATGTTGACGACATCTTATTGGCTGGAAATGATATGGAGTTTCTTATAACCATTAAACAATGGTTATCATCTCATTTTGAGATGAAAGATATGGGAGAAGCTGAATACATACTTGGTGTTAAGATACACCGAGACCGATCAAGGAAATTACTAGTTCTTTCTCAAGAGTCTAGCAGCTTGATGTATGCTATGATGTGCACTCGGCCGGATATTTGTTATGCGGTTGGCTTGGTAAGTCGTTACCAGTCAAATCCCGGGGAGAAACATTGGATGGCAGTGAAGAGGATCCTTAGATAATTAAAGGGAACAATGGACTATTCCTTGTGTTATCAAGGAAATGATTTACGCTTGACGGGTTACACCGATGCCGACTGGGCTGGCGATTTAGATGAGCGTAGATCGACTTCAGGATATGCTTTCTTGCTAAGTGATGGTGCTATTACTTGGAGTAGCAAGAAGCAGTCTTGTACAGCCTTATCCACGATGGAGGCTGAGTTCATTGCTTGTTCAGCATCAGTTCAAGAGGCTGTATGGCTGAGAAGGTTTCTACAAAGCTTACAAGTCACAACGGAGGCATCTTCTCCAGTGACTATACATTGTGATAGTCAAGCTTGTATTGCTTATATGAAGGATCCCAAGTATCATGGGAGGACAAAGCACATCGAAATCAAAGGAAATTTCGTGAGAGACATTGTGGCAAAGAAAGAAGTGGTCCTTAAGTACATATCTACACATAGAATGGTTGCTGATCCATTTACCAAACCAATTCCTAGAGATGTGTTTCTGGCTCATGTTCGAGCTTTGGGTTTGCGTAGAATTTAAAGAATGTACTTATAATACCTTGTTATTTGACATTGTACTTATGTTGAATGTTTTATTTTAAGAATATTTAAGACGTTTAATACAATGATCAATTCTTTTATTGTTTTTCATACTTACACATATATATTGAGAAATGTTACCAAGTTTGGAGATTGGTTCACTCACATGAACAATCGCCTCAGATTTCTTAGTGAAAGGCTGAGATGAGACGGATGAGCTTAGCGCTAGTGGGAGCTTGCTTTGCATATCATCAATGTCGCCTTATTAAAGAGTTAAGATGAGATATTTAAGATATCGATCATGATTGTCCCAGAATCATGAAGACTTGGGTGAGCTGGATAAGTATATAATCAGGCGCTAGAAAGCGAGCTGGTAGTAACTTGATTCACATAGTGGTGTTTGGTTTATCCAGTTGACATGTACTTTTTTTTAAAAAAAATAAAAAGGTAACCACTGTGACATGTAAGTCATACCACATGTGCTATAACGACCACATAGGAAGCAAGTGATTATTTTTCTATAATCCCTAACACTTGCAATGTGAGATTCTATAAACCTACTAATGGTTTCACAAGTTACCCTTGAACCTTCGGCTATGTTTTTGAAGGGATGAACTAATGTTTGCTACTTTAGTATGTTTTTCAATGGTGATGAAATAAATAACCTTATGGGACATGCTAGGAAAGCGGTTAGTCCGGAACCAAAGGACATGAGAACGGAAGGGAAAACTATTTACTTTTACATTGACATATGAGTTTGCTGGCCAGCCACTGTATCGCTCAATCGGAGTTTGTATATAGTGAACACATAATGTGAAACGTCTAACATATGCTTAAGGGATAAGATATGTTTAGATTGATGTAAAAGGTAAATGAGTTTGGGGAACAGCGAGGCATGCTGAAATTCAAATATTTTTCTTAGGGTTGTAGCATACATGTATTCCTAACAGATGCATAGTTTAGCTCCCAAGTGCAGGTGTAGTCGCAGGGTCGCACGGTTCATTTGTTGTATGTATTCCGAGTTAAGATTCTCAAACTTAATCTCTAAGACTTCTCTAGTACTTGTTATGCTCCCATCATGTGCGAGTGGGAGATATTGGTTTAAGATCGGTTTGCGCCCATGATTTGGTAGCATAAAGAACCGGTGTCACTTAAACCGGTGTGATCGAGAAGATGTCTCACGAGAGAGACACAAGCACTTCGTGTCTGTTCATGATGTTGGCGTTTCTCTGTTGCTTCTCTCTGTTTGTCTATAAAAGAGATAATGGCAGAGAGACATGATCACGAAACCAAAACCAACAGTTGGTGACTGTTGTAACAAAGACGCAAAACAGAGAGAATAACGAGAGAGAGAGAGAGAAAGCTTTGAGACATCAAGAGGAAAGGCACTTGAACTGTGGCAAGAGGAACACTTCCGTTTGTGATATCTTCCCGATCTCTGCATACATTCTCAGTCGAATCCGTGACAAGTACGTCACCGAACCGACGAAGGTACGATACTCTGTTTTACATTATCGCTTCCGCTAGTAACTCTAACACTGATAACACGAACAGGATAACCCATTTCGCAACTCAGTCTTAAAGCTTCATTAGACCTTTCAAGAAGCGTGCCAAGGCGTAGTGCACGTGCCACAACCACAAGTGAGAGATTCCTCCGGCGGAGGAGCTGCTTTGCACCGCATGCACATACCCTCGGGATCGATTGGAACCTGCGCCATTATGATGATGAAATTAGAGAGATAAGTGTTGATTGCGAGATGAGAGTGAGAAATGTGGGTTCCGGTATTTAAGGGTGGAGAGAGAGGGAGACGAAAAGTGGAGCAGCGGGTCTTTTAGATTATTATTTTTTTGAATTTCAGTGGGCCAAATTCAGTCAACAAAATGAAATGAATATAAAAACAAATAATACATGTATTTCCATAAAATGGACGAAATTGCCAAAAACAAAATCGGAGAAAACAAAATAAAAACAAATCAACTCATTAGGAATAAAATATCTCCAAGTTAGGAAAAAAAATCTCAGCAAACTCCAACTGTGAAAATCAGTCTTAAAACAAACATAATCTCTTGACCCAAAACTTAACAAGAGTCCCATCATAGTTTCAACAATATAAATGCAATACGATAGTATTTTAAATCTTGAAAGATTTGGTTACAAAAGAGATATCAAAAAGGACAGTCGTCCTCGTGTCCAATGACTTCTTCATCCCAGACATCAGTATACTCGGCCCTGAGGTGTTGAAAAACAATTTCGCAAGTTTAACATATAAATCAATAATTAAACTTTTAAAACAACATATTCATAATTATAATTTGTCTGAAACCTCACATTCTTTTAAACTCCTCAAATCCTTCATCATCAACATCCTCCAAAATTTCAGAAACTCCTTTAACACTTGTCCCTCTCACATTTTCTATACAAATAAAGGCAATAGCTTTCAATGTCAAATAATATTAGCAAAAATTATTGCATAGTGGCAATATGGAGATTTATAAAACACATCTTTTGTATATCAAACGATCAAAATTATTTTTATGTAGCATGTTAACTCAAAACACGATAACAATAGAAATTTGGACGATAATATTACCTTTAAAATCACCAACTCTCCATAATCTTAAGACACAAAAAGTCTTGGCTCGAAACATTTTCTGCTTATTCAGCTTTCTTTTGACCTGCTCAATATATCTCCCAGTCACTTGGCAATCTATATCGTTACCACTTACAAAATACATGAAACAAACTTTATTACTCATTGAAGATATAGGGTTTCAATTTTCTAATATTCTGACAAAATAAAACATAGATCCGGAATTTTAACTTACAAGATGTCCCTTATCGTGAATTTCATGTACTTATTATCTTCGTAAGGCTCAATTCTTTCACCATTCTCATCTTTTAAGGTTTTTTCCAACCCAACTCTAACAACAACACCCATGAGATCAACTACAACAACAATTTATGCAAAATTACATTCTGAAAATATTTAAATTCACTACTATATATATAAGAGTATAGTATATAACAGTAAGATGTTAAATCAAAGAGTTATGCATACCTAATGGGTAATTTTTGATGAGTTCATCATCGAGCACATCTGCGAAACTCCAGAAATTGTAGAATGGATCATTTGTCACATCAGACACTCTTCTCATGACAGTTTGAGTCGAGAAGAAGATGTGATACTTCTGATCAAATAGCGGTAGATTTTTCTCTGCAGGTGACACGTTAAACTTTTCAATGACATAACTGTCACCTTCTTTGATTTCAACGTTCAATCTTTCAGCTAGTCCATTCGGAACAGAGGCTTGGATCATTGTACCCTAGTCAAAAAATATAAATCAAATTACAGATAAGAAAAATATACAAACTACAAATTTATTGATAAGAAACAATATGTAAATTATACCATCTCATCACGGAGAATGATCTCTAGAAAATGTCCAAACCATTCTGTTTCATTCTTCCATCTCCGAACAACCTTAGCGCAGATACGAAAATCGGATTTCTTTGTGTGGAGCTCACTGAGAAGATTAAAAACTGCCATGTCTATTAGTAAGAAGAAGGATTATTGGTAAGAAGCTTTAACCCTTTCTTCGTCTCATTATAAACAAAATATCTCCTCTTCACATATCCCAGCTAGGAAAGAAATCTCAGCCAACTCCAGCTGTGATTTGTTTTTAATCAGCTTTTGGTAAAATAATCTGGCCTAATTTAATATTATCAACTGACGTCATTGTGTGTTTTTTTTTTTTTTTTTTTGGTGGCTTACTCATCATGGTTCAAGTGCTTCGTTTAGATCTTTTTCACTTCAATCCATAAACTGTATAAACGTTGCACAACAGCATACAGGTGCTTAATTCATTTAAGATCCTCTTATGACTTTTACTTGATTATCTCTTTCACTATAATTACTTTCCAATTTTTATTTGCTTCTCCTCTCACGTTTTACAAAAGAAATTCGTACATAGAAGATAATATTACAACAACAAATCATCACCTATCCGTATACTTGCTAAATTGCTTTAGGTGTATCAATCAAAATTAGTTTAAGCAATGCCTATATAATGCACAAAGCAACTGAAAAGTATTGATAGGTATAATAATTTTGATTGATAGGTATTGCTTAACTATCTAGAAAGAAACTCTTTGTGAGGAGTGTACGTATATAATCTGTTTGTCTAGAAATTCTTCCATGTTTCAAACTCTACGTACAGGTTTGATTGTATTATTTTCTATATAAATATGAATGATGTGTTTTAGATAGCTTTATGATTCAACGTTTTAGTAAACTGTATTTTAAAATTCTATGAGATTTTTAGCTTTCATCCTTTGATACAGGTTGCTATCATATATGAAGATGGTAGTGCTTACTAAAAGTCTTAGGCAGCAAATGAGGAAAACAAAGAAGAAAGAGTGGTCTATCAGATTTCATCGGAGTTGCATGCACAACTACGACTCCATCAAAAAATATATTGAAATGAAAAAGCTTCTTAGCCTTTCACATTCGCCACTCCTAATTTATCAAATGATAACTTTTATAAATAGATGCTCTAAATAAGAAAATAATTCACGGACTTGTTAAATGACAAATCCAAAATTAAGCATTGTGTAAACAGGTGAACAATTCGATTCTGTTTGTTTGCCTTTATAATTTTTTTTGTCGATTTTGCCTTTATAATTTTTATCAGAAAATTTTATCAATACTAATCTCTATAAATTAAATAAGTAAATTTCTTTTGTGTTTTTACAAAGCACCTGTGTTTTTCTTGGAAATAAATAGCAGTTAAAATAATATATCTCTTTTGGCTTGGACAAGGAGACAGAAGCATCAATGCTTTTATCTTTTAGTTACTTCTACCGTTCAACTTTGAATGGTGAAGAGACCCAGCCACTCACCATTAACTTGTCTTATACAAATATCTAATACTGATTGGTGAAGAGAACAATCCATCTTACTTACACAAAACATTATTCGATTGAATGAAATTTAGTTTGTTAAAGTAAATACCGTTTCTTCGTTTTTATTAGAGACTTAGGAAATGGAGGAAAAGCCCCCGAGGAGAAGAGTAGTATTGGTTCCAGTAACATTACAAGACGTAGAAGTTGTGTTTCTACGAAGACGTAGACGTAGGGAGATAAGTTTACTTAACTCCCTTCTACAACTCACAAAATGGTTTACTTAAACAAGCATGTGTTTGGTGTATCCTCAGATCTTCTATTTTCTTTTGTTTCATTTTTTCTTTGTTTACACAGCGATGTTTCATTCAAAGGTCTTTGAGCTACAATAAGAAAAATAAAATGTATTCTTTTTTAATCGATCATTTTTTTTATGTTTCCAGAAGTGCTTATATTTAGGACCAGTTTCACACAAAAAAAAACTAGCATTATATGTTTGCTTGTTGTCTATAATTACCACTAAAATCATAAATTTTGAGAACCCTTTCTAAACTTAAAATTTATTTGGAATGACATTGTTTTGTGGTTTTCTAGATTTTTTTTTTTTTCAGTCTGATTTCTCATGCCAATTATATTTTGCTCAAGCAAAATTCAGGTGGGAAAGTAATTTTTAACTACCTGGATCATGAAAACAAATGTCTGAAATCTCAAGGTGAGTCTTCAACTAGATTCCAGACATTTGTTATCAGGATCCATACAGTTGAAAATTAGTTTCCCACCTGGATTTTGTCTGAGCAAAATAAGGCAAATTGATCTAAAGTCTCTCACGCAATTGCATACAGAAAATGCAAGTCAGGTTTGCTCCTAGCGCGGCCACGACATCGTCATCTCCCGCATCCTTGTTCTCTTCTTCATCCACACCGATTTTGCCACCCATCAGCTCCTGCCTCTTCTTCGCCTTTTCAGCGTCCGTCAGAGTCGCAGCCATGAGATCCAAATTTTCGTTGGATTCAGCGACAACGCCGCCATGAGGATCGCCGGAGCAATCGGGACACTCCCACTGCCAAGCCAGGGATTCCGGAGGGGAAGACAGGCAGGAAGCGTGCCAAGCCGTAGTGCATGAGGAGTTGCGTTGCACCGCATGCACGTACCCTCGGAATCGCATGGAACCTGCGCCGTTTCGATGATGAACACGTGGCCGAATTAGAGAGAGTGAGAGATAAGAGTTGTTTGCGAGATTCGAGATGAAAGTGAGAAATGTTTGGTTCCGGTATTTAAAGGGTGGAGAGAGGAGAGGATTTAGGGTGATGATATCTTGTCTGATTGAGAAAGTGATGATATCATGTATGATTGCTGCAGTGACGGCTTCTTCAGCTTCTTCAGAGACAAAGACATGATCAGCTCGTGGGGATTTTACTCTAGGAATTTGAGTGTTCTTGGATTTAGTTCTCAGGTGATACTTATCTAATGGTTATGGATAAAATTAAATAAAGTAGAAATCGTTCGATCAAAATTATAAAAAACCTAAACCGTTCGATCAATACCAAAACAAAACAAGTAAAAATTATTTGCATGTAGGTATTATACCATATATACAGTTACTCTGAAACAAAAAAGTACCTTTTATGAATATATCCGAAGCTACGCGCAGTTTTGTTATCTTTTGATTTCAACGTTCAATATTTCAACTCGTATATTCGGAATAGAGGCTTGGATCATTGTACCCTAAAAAAAAAATTATATAAGTAACCAATAAGTCAAATTACAGATAAGAAAAATATACAAACTACAAATTTATTGATAAGAGACAATATATAAAGTATACCATCTCATCACAGTGAATGATCTCTAGAAATTGTCCAAACCATTCTGTTTGATTTGTCCATCTCCGAACAACCTTAGCGCAGTTACGAAAATCGGATTTCATTGTGTGGAGCACTCTGAGAAGATTAAAAACTGCCATGTCTATTAGTAAGAAGGAGTATTGGTAAGAAGCTTTAACCCTTTCTCCGTCTCATTTATAATAAAAAAAATATCTTCTGTTTACATATCCCAGCTAGGAAAGAAATCTCAGCCAATTCCAGCTGTGATTTGTTTTTAGTCAGCTTTTGGTATAAATAATCTGGCCTGATTTAATATTATCAACTGACGTCATTGTGTTGACGTCATTGTATTATGTCATGCCTATTCTTTTTTTCTGTGGCTTAACGTTCTGGTAGTGATCAAGTGCTTCGTTTAGATCTTTTCACTTAACTCCATTAACTGTATAAACGTTCCACAACAGCATAAAGGTGCTTAATTCGTTTAAGATCCTCTTGTGACTTGTACTTGATTATCTTTCACTACATTTACTTTCCAATTTTTATTTGCTCAGAGAAGTTCATATTACAACAACAAATCATCACCTATGCGTATAATTGCCAAATTGCTTTAAGGTATATCAAAATTTAGTTAAACAATGCCTATAATGCACAAAGCAACTGAAAAAATTCAACAAATTAAAAAACGTTTAAAAGAGGAAATAGTTCCGGGAGAGAGGGACTGAATTGGCTGGTGCACAAGAAAGCACTTCACCGTTTGCTGTGACAACATACGTCTCCGGATCCACAGTGATGTTCGGAAGCGCATCGTTCAGTTTCATGTCGAATTTTGTGAGCTGTCTCACGTTTGATAGTGCTACAACTCTCTTCTTGAGTCCATATGTTTCTTTTAGACCGTTTCTCAAAGCAGCCTGAGTTTAGGTAAGGATTAAGAAACTATACTTATGTTAATTGAATCAAATGGAGAAAGAAAAGAAGATATATAGAGTGTGATAAAGATGACATGCCTTGCTGACAAATGCAACAGAGTTTTCACTTCCGGCCTTTCCAAACGCACCAAACATAGGTCTTGATATGACCTAGCGTCGTCATAAGATAAAGCCAAAGAATGTTACATGTCAATAGATCAAGCAGAGGAAGATAACATGTCCAGAAAAATAGTAGTCAGTGATGATTACCGGCTCAGGAGTGGGTATGCTAGCATTTGCATCGCCCATATTAGCCCAGGCTATATTGCCACCTTTGATTATCATTTCTGGTTTTGCTCCGAAGAAAGCCGGTTTCCACAAAACAAGATCAGCCAGCTTCTTCTCCTGCAAGTATCAAAATAAAAGAACGATCGTAGTTGCAAGAATTTTGTGAACACTAAAAATTTGTTTCCTAGAACATTGGTTTGTTTTGACAAGGACACAAGGGAATATGAATCATTTGACTTCTCGTAGCTTAAGTTTTCATATGAAGATCGTCCATCAAATAGTGCATCAGCTTTATTGACATAACTTTAGGCATAAGTATACTATTTTGTGCTTGCATGATTGATAATGGTGGTAATGTTACGTGTGTTAGGTGGTCTTCATGTGTCAGAAGTAACTTTTTCACTGATTCCACATGACAATAGTGTGAAGAAGCCACTGGAAACACAAATGATATAATATCCATTGTAGAGTGGTTCCTGAGATTGAGAATTTTCTCTTGTTTTAAGCCCACACGAAGATCAATTAACGATCATCATTGCCAAACACCAATTCTTGCCGCTGCAACCGCAACACGAATTCAGCCTCCCTATCTAAATCTTGATCCAATCTCACGTTCTCGGCTCCGGTAGAGCATCGTGGCAGTTGTCTCCTTCAACTCATTGCAGTACACGTAACACGTGTTCTAACTTCTAACATTTTTTCCTTCTTTCTGATTTTAAGCTCTGTTATCTTATTAATACTCACTTACTCAGCATCAAAATAATATGGGCTTCTACTGTAAATCTTGAAGTTGGTAGACGCCGAACCATGTAATCCAATATTGGACCGACCTCTAATGAAATATTGTTGACAAAAATCCCTAATATATTAAAAGAGAAAACACTAACTAAATAACATTTGTCCAATGTGTTATTAACAAGAGTGCCACTGCTTAGGTGTCATCACCAGGTTCACTCTCAGGGAACTTTTTAATTAAGACAAGTTTTACTAGAGAAATTACAATATATGCCATTATATATTATGCTTATAACCAAATAATGTAATTGTCACCTTATTAAACATTACTATAGTCGAATCACGTTAATGATTAACCTGCCTGATTGGTTTATCATTTGCATATTAACCAATTGGTATACAATGTTTATTGATTCGTATTATTTTTAAGAAATCATTAACCAATTGCTTTTAGAACCACTTTTCAATATAGGTATACAGAACATGTGGTCGACAAAATTGGTGGTAATTATACACATACTTTCATTACCACTTTCCAATATACATTTACACAGATATTTTTTTTTCAATGATAGCACATTTTATTTAGCTCTATATTCTAACTAATATGCAATTATGTCCAGAATTATACGTATATAGTACAAAGGAGGTAATTTACGTATAAACCAGAAAAGATGCAATAAAACCGACAACTAACAGTTTAAATCGGAGTACAGGTTATGTTACACGGAATATATGTTTAAGCTAATTTAAATGAGAGTTTAATGTTTTCTCATAGAGCATGAATTGCGGCGAGTATAATGGAATAAGGTATCAAAAGGCGATTAGTTTGCTGTCTGATACGAATCAAAAATTCGGTCAGGTTCGATAGTATCGTAGATGAAAGGATATTCGAGAGATTAAAACTTTACATATTATGGCAACCTAATAAGTTTCTGAATACTAAATGTAGACGTAGTTAACGGAGTCACTATGGCAATTTTAGAATTGTTATATGCAAATTACCTTACGGGAATCTCATGTATGGAAACCCATTAACTACGAAAAGTGAAAACGTTACTATGGTAAATTATTTATTCAAGGTTTCCAAATCCAAATTGTGTTACACCGATTATTCAATTCAAGGTTTCCATAAACAAAGGTACTTTTAAATGTGACGATTATTTTTCAATATACACATACTTTCAATATAACCACGTTTAAATGTGATATCATTCTTATTTGATAATCCAAATTACAGTATTTTACCTTGATTGTTGTCAATCACTTTAAAATAGTGATCACAAAGATTCTGAAGTCTGCACTTTAATGTACTGTTATACACTCATAAACCATCTAACCTAATCTCCTTGCTATATAAGGTCTTTGCATTCTCATGAACGTAACTCACCTCAAAATACTTCTCTTCATCGCAGCAAACATCAATTCAAAGAATCACTTACTTTGTTAAGTATGTCTTCCTTAAGTTCCATCACTTACCTGAAACCTTTCAAATCCATGTAGAAGATAAAGGTTAGATCATACGGCTATGTGTCAAGTTTTATTTTTAACTTCAAAAACTCATGCCCTACACGATGATCAATTCCACTTCGCTCTAACCAAGGACATGTTATCATGCAGTGAAAACCCCAAAATATGTTCAAGGATGTTCTTAATTAGGAACAAAACATTAGACCAAAGGTTTTCATCCCGCACAGGGTGCGGGTCAATCTCTAGTAAATGTTAAAAGTGAATCTATCCATTTAACTTGTTTTAAGTTTGTAGAGAACCCTTTAATATGCATTTAGAAATGGTGCCAGACTTGGCTGGAATTAATGATCGACAACGCTCTTGACAGGTTATTACAATGGATCTCTGGCCATAATTTTAGACAAACGACTAAATATATATGGTTAGTAATTATTGTTAGAGATTCAGTCAAGATATGCCTTGATACTCAATCTCTCTGTTTTAGGAATCTTCTGTAATTACCTTTGTCTAGATCCTTCCTTCACCTTGTATAAATAACGTGTGTAGCATTCTCACATTCAATATAGAAAATACATTCCTCACATGGTATCAGAGCGTTAACGATACCCTAAAATTTTTTTTTTCCTCCGCCTCCCTCCTCTCTTCTCTTCTCTTCTCAACTCTCTTCTTCTTCTTTGTCTCTTCTCTTCGCCAATATGGCTGGAGCCGCAGAAACTATTGCTGACACTACTCAATCTCTACTCCACGTTAACGTGTCCAACATCACAAAACTTACCTCCACAAACTATCTCACATGGAGCGTTCAGGTCCATGCTCTCCTTGATGGCTACGACCTTGCGAGCCACATCGATGGATCTACACTTCCACCATCTCAGACGATCACCACGGCAGAAGTCTCTACCCCCAATCCTGCCTACACCAAATGGAAGAGACAAGATCGACTCATCTTCAGTGCCCTTCTTGGTACTCTCACGCCCTCCATCCAAACCGTTGTCACCAAATCCACGTCCTCCAAGGAGATGTGGGATACCGTTGCTGCTACCTACGCAAAACCAAGCCGAGGGCACATTCAACAACTCAAACATCAGCTCAAGCAATTCAACAAAGGTGACAAAACTATTGATGAGTATGTGCAAGGCTTACAAACTCGGTTTGATCAACTTGCTCTCCTTGGCAAACCTGTCGAGCATGAAGATCAGATTGAGTTCATCCTTGAAGGCCTCCCTGACGAATACAAATCAGTGGTGGAGCAGATAGAAGGACGAGATCTTTCACCCTCCATCACGGAGGTTCATGAGAAACTTCTTACTAAGGAAGCAAAACTCATGGCTCAGACTCCTTCACCTGCAACTCCGATCACGGCGAATGTTGCTACCGGTCCGACTCGTCGGTTTCAACCACGAAACCAGCCCCGTCACAATCAAAACTGGCAGCCTCAGAACAACTACAACCGTCAGCAGTCACGACAAGACAACAACACCAACAATGGTACCACCCGTGGCTATCAAGGGAAGTGTCAGTTGTGTGGAGTTTTCGGCCACAGTGCGAGACGGTGCCCACAGTTTCCACAAAACCAAAGTGGTCCCTCCAATGCTATTCTCCCTACACCAACTCGCCCATGGCAACCACAAGCACATGTTGCGACTGCCTCGGCTCATCCCTCCCACGCTTGGCTCATGGACACCGGCGCCACTCATCATATGACGAGCGACCTCCACAACATGTCTCATCAACAACCATATACTGGGAATGATGCAGTCCTCATCGGTGATGGCTCAGGACTGTCAATCTCCCACACTGGTTCCATCTCTCTTCCCTCTTCATCTCGTTCTCTCTTGCTTAATCATGTGCTATGTGTCCCTCATATACGAAAGAATCTCATTTCTGTTTACAGACTTTGCAATGCTAACAAAGTCTCTGTTGAATTCTTTCCTGCTCACTTTCAGGTGAAGGATCTGAACTCGGGAATCCCGTTGTTGCAAGGCAATACCAAGGATGAGCTCTATGAATGGCCTGTCGCACCATCTACCTTTCAATCATTTTTTGCTTCTACAACTCAAAAACTTTCTTCTATTGATTGGCATCATCGTCTTGGCCACCCCTCTTTTGCTATACTTAAAAACATTGTTTCTCGGTTTTCTTTACCATGCACTCCATCGTCTGTAACTCAACCTTCTTTGTGTTCAGACTGTGCAATCAATAAATCTCACAAATTGCCATTTGCTCAAACCTCTATTGTTTCCTCTCGTCCCTTAGAATACATTTTTAGTGATGTGTGGAGTTCACCTATTCTCTCTATTGATAAGTATAAGTATTACCTTGTTCTTGTTGATCATTTCACCCGATATACTTGGTTTTATCCTCTCCGATTGAAATCGCAGGTCCGAGAGACATTCATCGCATTCAAGGAACTGGTGGAGAATCGCTTCAACACACGGATTGGAACTCTCTACTCCGACAATGGCGGTGAATTCGTGGCTCTCCGAGCTTTTCTCACAAGCTCTGGCATTTCTCACTTTACCTCACCACCACATACGCCGGAGCACAACGGGATCTCGGAACGCAAGCACCGCCACATTGTCAAGACTGGCCTTACATTGCTAACTCACTCCGCCATGCCAAAAAGCTACTGGTCCTATGCCTTCTCCACCGCTGTCTACTTAATCAACCGTCAATCAACTCCGCTTCTCCAAATGGAGTCGCCGTTTCAGCGCTTGTTCGGATCAAATCCCAATTACTCAAAACTCCGAGTCTACGGATGCCTCTGCTTCCCTTGGTTGCGTCCGTACACGACGAATAAACTTGAAGATCGCTCCACACCATGCGTCTTCATCGGCTACTCTCAAACCCAGAGTGCGTATTTGTGTCTTCAACCCGCTACTGGACGCATTTACGTCTCCAGGCATGTCCGCTTTGACGAATCTGTGTTTCCTTTTGCAAAAGTTGACACCTCTCCTCCGATGTCTCCTGCTGCGATCCAATCGTCTTCATCCTCTGCTCCGGTGGTTCACATCCCTCTCACCACAGTCCCGCCTCCGACGGAACCACCACCAACACCTCCGCCGGCGCCAATCCCGGCTACTGCCACTACGCCGTCCTCATCATCTCTGCCGACAGTCTCGACAAACTCCGCCACGGATCCCACGCCGGAATCACACTCGTCGTCATCTGATTCTTCACCCTCATCTCACACCAATTTGGGCCCACTCAATTCATCACCACCACAGGCCCATACTGATGAGGTCCATCACTCCATGTCCTCAAGCCCATGTACTGATACGGCCCATTTCCTATCACAAGCCCACTCTGAAAGTCAATCCCCCTCTCCATCGATCTCGTCGTCCCCGTCGTTCTCATCGCCTTCCTCTGCTGATTCCTCAACTCCACCGCCGGTGCCACCACCTCCGGTACAACCGCCGCCAATTCCACCTCTGGAGAATGCTCACCAGATGACCACTCGCCGCAAGAATCTCATCACGAAACCCAACCCCAAATATAACTATTCTGCGGCGCTCTCTCGCTCTGTCCCAGCTGAACCACGGACCCTTGCTCAAGCTCTCAAAGACAAACGGTGGAGCGGGGCTATGTCGACTGAAATTGACGCTTTCGCGGTGAATCGAACCTTTGACCTTGTACCTCGACAACCTCACTTCAATGTTGTTGGTTGTAGATGGATCTACACTAATAAGTTTTTCTCTTCTGGTGAACATAACAGGTGCAAGGCGCGCTTGGTCGCCAAGGGATACACGGACAAGACTATACTGAGACCTTCAGTCCCGTCATCAAAGCAACTACCATCCGCACTGTCATTGACATCGTTGTGTCTCGTTCTTGGCCTCTGCTCCAACTAGACGTCAACAACGCTTTTCTCCAAGGGACGTTACATGAAGAAGTCTATATGGATCAACCTCCTGGTTTTGTCGATGCCGATCGCCGGTCTTATGTTTGCCGTCTTAACAAAGCCGTGTACGGATTAAAGCAGGCTCCGAGAGCGTGGTACACAGAACTAAGCTCCTTCCTCATCAGTCTCGGCTTTGTCAACTCACTTGCGGACTCTTCACTGTTCATTCTCAAAACCGGTACTCATTTCATCTACCTACTCGTCTACGTGGATGATATTTTAGTCACTGGAAGCAACAAGGATCATATTCACCGGATTCTGCAACTCCTTGCTGATCGGTTCTCAATTAAAGACCCTGAAGACCTCAACTACTTCCTTGGTCTAGAAGCCAAGCGCACCGCAGCTGGTCTTCATCTCTCCCAACGTAAGTAGGTTATCGATCTCCTTCATCGGTATGACATGACCAATGCCAAACCGGTGCTGACTCCAATGGCGTCTTCTCCCAAGCTTACTCTCACCTCCAGCAAAGCACTTGCAAATCCGACTAAATACCGTCAACTTGTGGGGAGCCTTCAGTATCTTCAGTTTACTCGCCTTGACATTGCCTTTGCGGTGAATAAACTTTCCCAGTTTATGCATTGTCCCACCGACGATCATTGGCAAGCCGCCAAACGCATACTCCGATATCTCGCTGGTACACCGTCTCATGGTATTTTTTTCTCCTCCAAGAATCCCCTGAATCTCCATGCGTATTCTGATGCTGATTGGGGAGGTGACTCTTTTGACTATGCCTCCACCAATGCCTACATCATCTATCTTGGTACTCATCCCATTTCCTGGTCGGCTAAGAAGCAGAAAGGTGTTGCCCGTTCATCAACTGAAGCTGAGTACCGTGCGGTCGCCAACGCTGTAGCCAAGCTCCGCTGGGTCTGTAACATCCTCACCGAACTTGGCATTGAGCTTCCGACACCTCCAACGGTCTACTGTGACAATGTAGGTGCCACCTTCCTTTGTGCAAATCCCGTTTTTCATTCCCGGATGAAACACATTGCCATTGACTATCACTTTGTTCGTGGTCATATCCAAGACGGAGCTCTTCGAGTAGCTCATGTTCACACCCACGATCAACTCACCGATGTTCTCACCAAGCCCCTTCCACGAGCTCACTTTCTACACTTACGGAACAAGATTGTAGTAACTGAAGCTTCTCCATCTTGAGGGGGCGTGTTAGAGATTCAGTCAAGATATGCCTTGATACTCAATCTCTCTGTTTTAGGAATTTTCTGTAATTATCTTTGTCTAGATCCTTCCTTCACCTTGTATAAATAACGTGTGTAGCATTCTCACATTCAATATAGAAAATATTCCTAACAATTATACCATTCCTAATAATTTCTGATTTTCAGTATTTTATTACGTATCCGAACAAAATGATAGAAAGATGTCAGTACAAACTACAAGAAAACATTAGAAATTTAACATTTTTTTCTTTTAACCAACAACTTGGAAAACTTCTAACGAATATCCAAACAAGCTAACAAGTCACGACCGAAGTTTCTTCTTCAGCGTCGGTAACCTCACAGTTTTCATCTATACTTGTCCTTTCACCTTTTTCCTATGATGCATTTACAGGCTTTGCTTTGTCCTCTTCCTTGTTCTTCAGCTTCTCTATCATCGTCATTATATCACAATCAGTGGACGGCTTTTCTAACGAAAGCTCTATACCAAGGTTGCGCCTATTTAGCCTTATAGATCCTGGGCTAGGACAAATTACTTCCGCTGACAACCATGGGAATACTAGTTTTACCAGAAGACAGTTTCCTCCGGTTTAGCACCCTAAGGAAGTTATAGTGTTTTCACCCATGGGGCTTTAGACAGCCTACCAAACAATCCTTTTGATTCTTACAGCAAGAGATTCGCACACCCGAGATTTTCTTACACTAAGGATCAAAAGGTAACTGCTTGGTTGGCTAGGCTGTCTTTCTAGAGTCACCTGGTTGGAACTCTATAACTTCCTTGGGGTAGTTGATCTGGTAAGCGGGAGTGCTTGAGCTCAGCCGATGATCCAGAATGCTGAATTATGCGCAATGTCGGTATAGTTCTATCGTTAGAAAAGGTGTCCACTGATCATAGTCGGTATAGAGCTCTCGTAAGAAGACAATAGATTCGAGATCACCAAGCTAACAAAAACCCTAGATATGAAAACATGTAAGCAAATCCAAGAAAACACAATTAAGTAGATGAAGACAGCCTTATTGATACAGTTTGTCACAAATGGGAAGCACAATTTAGTCTATGTTTTTTGTATAACAACACTTTGATGGATGTGTGTGTAGCTTCATGCAACTTTAATTGTGTAGAAGAAAAAGTAAACCATCATATCCAATTATGTGTTTTCACAATGAGAAACGTTGAAATTGACTAGAAATTGACCCGCGCTACGCTGCGGGAAATTGTTATTTCATTTTTTTTTCTTTTTTAAATATTTGTTTCGAAACATAATTTGTATTTGGGTAAATATAATTGCTTATTGGGTTTTCGTCAAATGGACATTTAAATAAACCAAGACGAAATTGTAATGGTTCGTTCACCTTCTCTTTGCTGGTTTTCATCTCATATTACCGTTTCCTTCTCTTTGCTAGTTTTCATCTCATTTTACAGTTTGCTTCTCTTTGCTGGTTTTTATCTCCTACGGATGTTTGTTTGTGTTAGATTTGTTCCTATATTATCAGTTACGCATAATATCAGATTTGTTTTAGGAATACACCTGGTTTTGGGAATACACCTGTTTCTCTGTATTGAAGGTTGTTAAAGAGAAATCTCGTATTAAATTTATGTTTATAAAAAACTTATAAATATAATATAACTTTAATTTTATAAAACTGATTTAACATTGTATAAAACCACTTGACCTTTCTACTCTTTAGGAGTTTACATTTTTATTAACTTTTTGACAACTTGTAAGCTTTTGATAAATATCTTGGATGATCCATTTGAGTTCAAATGCTGTTTCCCTAGCAAAACAAGCAGAAAAAAAAAATGAAAATGTCTAATGAAATGTGTTATTCCTTAACATTCATACCCAGAAAAATAAAAGTCTTATTCCCAGAGGGATAATAATTTTACTCTCGCTTGCAAAAGAGTTCGAGACATACATTCACAATGTTGTTATTTCGTACCTGGAACAATTCTTTACGATTATTTTGATACCCTTCGTTGGTCACACCCTCTTTTTGTGTCAGTCATCACTTTCTTTTGGAAAGCTGTTTCTCTAGACTGAATCTCTATCTGAGTCTTGGCCATCTTCTCCAAAACCCCGACATCTCCATCACTCCTCCGATTATGCAAGTCATCGGGTTAGCAAGAAACCACATTGGTCTATCCTATTTGATTAACGGTGCATCCACTTCGAAGAAACCACCGACCGTAAGCCACCAGATCGGTTCGTCCCTCTGCCACTGCCTTATCACCGTCTTCTTTCGTGTAACCTCCAGCGGAGATGAAAGTCCCCTGAAAGGCGTTCCTACATCGGGATAAGCGTGTGAGGACACTCTATTATCTCTCCCAATGTTTTCATTCTTGCTTCAACCGTGTGACAGTAGAGGATTCCGTATTTGTTCAGAGATTCCGCCATGTGAACAGCTAATGCCTGTGGGTTAGTGTCTTCGGATTCCATGTAGTCAGCGAACGGAGACAGCCTGATTCCAACACGGTTTGGTCCAATCTCGTTGCTCGTTGGCCAGTGCTTCGACTAAATCTAGAGCGAATTTGCAACGTTTTTCCAATGATCCACCGTATTCGTCTGTTTTGTCATTCACCGTGTCCTTCATGAACTGGTCTATTAGATAGCCATGAACACCATGAATCTCTACTCCATCGAAACCTGCAACAACAACAACATTCAAGTAAACATACATTCAAAGCATAACATAATTTTTACAATAAGCAACCAAAATGACCATCATGTTCGTTTGCAAATCTATTTCTTAACAAATAACAATCACATCAATCATTATTACTCATCAATCTAACACATACGTATCTATTTCAACATTTGTTCTCAAGGCATGAACAAATCTATAAGCAACCAAAATCAATACATATTACACATAGGACCATATCACTAAACCCTTTGAATTCCTTCTAATAAGATTGAGGAAAAAAAAAGGTAATAGAATCAGATAGACCTTCTTCTTTTCTTGGCCGTAGCATCATCGTCTCCACCAATCTCACTCTCCACCTTAGCTCAATCTTGATTCTCACTTCCAGAATCAGTTAACGCATCCGACTTCTTCTCAACCAAGGAATCAGCCTTCTCCTTCCTGGAACCATAGGAGCTGGTGAAGACAAACCATTGTAATCTGGTGAAGAAAAATCATTGAAGAGCTCAAATTTACCCGATATCTTAACAAACATATCCAAAACTTCTTTCATGTTTGGTCTTCCTTAAGGATGATCCGCTGTACATTGCACACCGATTTTTTAATAGCTCAGTCATTTCCTCAGCTCCGTTTCCTGGTTTCGTCCCTCAGAGAGTAAACAGCGAACCTTTGGCTGTCATGTTACCTGCCCATTCGACCAAACACTCTTCTCCTTCATCAACTGCTCTTCTACCCGTTGAGAGCTCCATTGTCAATACTCCGTAGCTGTAAACATCTCCTCTTGTGGTGGCTTGCCAAGTTTTTCCATACTCAGGAGCCACATTGTGCCTGCAATCACAGTGCTCACATGACTATCTGTGACATTTAAGAGCGTAGCTAGTCCGAAAGAATGATGAAGGAAACAAAACTCAATAGAAGCACACAATTCATAAAAATTAACACAAATCGTCATGTCAAGAAGGATACCAATGGGACATAAAAAAATCCACTAAGAACGCAGATCAGTCGAAATAACAATTTTCCGGATGAACATACAAATCATCAACAATCAGAAATCAAAAACTATTATGAGCAGATACTAAAAAGGTAAAATTGGGAAAGCTAATCGAGAAACTAACTTCACCGGAGAGAACGGGGCCATGAAAATAGGAGCTCTGACACCGAGCCTCTGATGTCTTTGGGATTCATGTGTGAGAAAGAGATAAACGAACAGCAACGTCAAGCCGAAGTAAAATTACAGCAAAGAGGAATCGAGAAAGAACCATAGAAAAGAGAGTGAATGAGTTTTAGAATTACTACATGATAATCACGAACATACGATAATGAGGAGGACTTGAGCAAGAAAAGAGAGAGAGGGATCAGAGCAAAAGTCGAAACTTTTATCAACAAAAGACGATGAAGACGAAGCGAGAGGAGAGAGAGATCTCGAAGTAAAAGAAAAAGAAAAAAAAAAAAAAAGTCTGACGTGGTTAGTGAATATGTATTATTTAGAATGTTTTGATGGCCAAACCTTTTAAATGATGTGTCACTTTTTCCCTGTTTGAAAAAGCTGATGTGTCAACTCCTGGAGCAACACAAGGGATGGTAGTGTGTTGATTCGGAATTTAAGATATTCACCAAACCAACAAAAAGCCATAGAATATTTGAAAACACTAATAGATTCTAGATTTAATATATTAACGAGAAAAGTCTAGATATTGAAAACGGGTCATTTAGGGTCTGACTGGTTTAACCGCTGCGGTTGCGGTTGCGGGTGCGGGAGTTTGCGGAAGCGGGCGGTTGTGATTAGTAGCGTTATTAAGCGGTTTGTACGACTGGCATAACAATTGAAAATGGATGCGTTTGCGGGATACTTATGACTGGTTCACTTGCGGATGCAATAGCGGTTAAACAATAAATTAATAATATAAACACATTATATAATTATAAAAATATCAAAACTATATTATAATGAAAATTTTAAATTTATGGTTCAACATAATTAAAAATAATTTTTTTATAAAGAATAATATGTGTATAATACTTACGTCTATTTTTTAATTTCTATAATTTAAATAAAAAATGTGATTTTATTTTCAAAATATATATTTAATGTGAAAATTAAATTTATATTACAATTTTATTTATTAGATATATATGTATTAGTATGAAAAGAATATTTATCAAGAGAATTTTGATTTGTAGAACTTATAAATATATAAGTATGATATGATTTTAATGAATATTGACTAAAAGTACTAATTTTTTTTTATATTGTGATTTTATTATCCAAATCTTATTTTTTAATAAAGATTATTATTTATTTTCGGATTTTATATAAGTTTGTGTTTTTTTTTTTTAATTATCCACCCGCAACCGCCCGCAACCGCAAACGCTGCTGGGAAGGAGCTTTTGATTTTGAGGGTTGTTGAGGGATCTTGAGCGGTTTAGAGCGGTATAAAGCGTTTGTGGTGATTGTTGTCAAACGCCAATAACCGCTACTACCCGCAAACGCTGCGTTTGCGGGTAGCAGCGGGTGAACCAATCAGCACCTAAAGAATCCATAAAACACACCAATAACATAAATGAGGAAAAGCGAGAGACATACAGTATACTGTATACAAAATTTTTTTTTTTAATAACATATTTTTGACGAACAAGTTGCCGAATAAAAGAGAGGATAGGAGGATATATATATGGTGAGAGTGTTTATGAGATTTAATAGGGTCGAGATATATATGGATAGAGAGGAAAGTGTGAGAATTTTATAAGAGAGGAAATGTGTAGGAGCGTGAATTTTTTGAAAAGAAAACAAAATGAAAACTAAAAAATATATTATAATGTACAATAGAATCTCTATAAAGTAATACTCGATAAAATAATAAACACTATAAGATAATAAATTTCTCCATTCCTAACTCGGGCCAATGTAAAAAATAGCAAAATAAGATAAGATAATAAGGTAATAATATTTTTGAAACGTTTATGTAAAAATATAGTCCCAACAATAAGTTAAAGTAACAATTATAAAACTTAAGCATATATATTTAAGGTAATTTAGTAAAATATAACTCCAATGTGGTTTGTTTTTTTTTAAGTTAGATTCTCGTTGGAGCTATTTAAATAAAATTTAGTAAAATGTGATTCCAATACTACAAAGTATATTTGAATTAAAATTCTGAAAAAATATATTTCTATAAAGTTTCTTATTTTGATAGAATATTTCTATAAAATAATAACTCTATAAGATAATAAATTTTCAAAATCCCAACATTATTATTTTATAGAGGTTTTACTGTAATTCCATAAAATCAGGTCATATTACCAAAAAATAAATAAGAAAAAAAATCAAACAAAAACATTGGCAAAAACGTTTTGTTGTAGGCTTTTGTTTGGTCACATGCCAGTTAAGAAAAATATCTAATCCGATTTTGTTTACTTGAAAAGACAACTCTAACTATGTTTTTTTAGTTTCTAGTTTGAATTAGGGGAAACTTGGTAGGAAGGTGGGTTTTGAGTTTGTAATTGGGAAAATGGGTGTATCACTATTTGGGCCTTATCAAGGGACCTCAGTTTTTCTATTTAATTACGCCTACTGCCACTCAGTTTTTTTTAAATCAAAAATCATATTTATTTACACATATATGGGCCTTACTATATACCCTTGAGATTTCTATTTAATTACGCCTTGCTGCCACTTCATTTTATTAATTCAAAATTATTAAATTCACCTTCCTACCAAGTTTCCCCTTCCTACCAAACTGACTATTTAATTACAAAACTCAAAAACCGTATATTTGATACGTACATAATGTATTATATTTGAAACATAAAATTAAAACATATATTTGAAACACTATTAAATTAAAACATAATGTATTATATTTGATACGTACACCATATATTGGCGCATACACCGTATACTTGCATGTACACTATTTTCATGATTCAACAATCTTTGACTAAAGTTTAGCGTTTAAGGTTCAAGGTTTACAATTGTTTCCATGGGTTCATCAATCCTTGACTAGGGTTTAGTATTTACTATTTAGGGTTTAGGATTCTCCCCAAAGGATGTACCAATCTTAGGTTTAGCGTTTAGGGTTTAAGGTTTACAATTATTTTTATGGGTTCATCAATCCTTGACTAGGGTTTAGTATTTACTATTTAGGGTTCATCAATCCTTGACTAGGGTTTAGATGTACACCATATATATTGGTGTCTAAACCATATATATGGTGTATACCATATATTGGCACATACACCGTATACTTGCATATACACTATTTTCATGGTTCAACAATCTTTGACTAAAGTTTAGCGTTTAGGGTTCAAGGTTTACAATTGTTTCCATGGGTTCATCAATCCTTGACTAGGGTTTAGTATTTACTATTTAGGGTTTAGGATTCTCCCCAAAGGATGTACCAATCTTAGGTTTAGCATTTAGGGTTTAAGGTTTACAATTATTTTTATGGGTTCATCAATCCTTGACTAGGGTTTAGTATTTACTATTTAGGGTTCATCAATCCTTGACTAGGGTTTAGATGTACACCAATATATATGGTGTAGGTGTACACCATATATATTGGTGTACACCATATATATGGTATACACCTAAACCATATATACAGTGTACGCGCTAATATATTAGTGTACACCATATATTCACCATATATTATATCCGTTCGTATAGTATTTTTGTGTATACCGTATGTTAGCACGTACACTATATTTCAATTGTTGTTATGTAAAATTTATATATTTTTGTAATATTATCCTATTTTAAAAATTTAAAGTTCAAAATGTATAGAAAAAAATCTATATATTTGTTTAATACATATATTATTATATAATTTTGATTTAAATGATATATTTGAATCTCAAATTGAAAAGAGAAACATATTAAAGAAAAGTAAGAGAGAGAAAATAATTTTTATTTTTCATTTTTTTTTTCTGACACAAATTTTTTATTTTTTATTTTATTTTTTCCCACTCACATTTTCTCCCTTTGGTAACTGACGGATGGGTCCACTTGGGACCACTTTTCCCTCTCTCTTCTTGGTCTTTTTCTCTCCTACACTCAAGGCTATTTCAGTCCTCAAGAAGCAAAAGTCAGTTTATCTCTCCTACTTTCCCAATTACAAACTACACCCAACTTATTTCCTAATTCCAAACTTGAAACTACCCTATACGCAAACTATCCCTTGAATTAGCTGTATTTCCACACACCAAAATGGTTGAATTAGCTGTAATTAGCCAACGTTGCTCTTTCTTTTCTTGTTAAAGGCCACGATGCTCTTTCCTACTTGGATCTTCTCACTAAGACCATAACGCCACATCATCACTTCAGGTACGTGGCTTCACAAATGTAGGAGATACATCTAGGTTATTCTCCGTATGAACTCTTCCTTGTGTCACACTAGAACCTCTTGATATAAATCACACTCCATGTACCAACTTTTTCATAACATCTTGATATAAATCAACATATATATCTTGTGTCTAAAACCTGTAACACTCCATACACTCACAATCTCTCCCTTCAATTTGTTACTGGGTTATAGAACTCATGCTCCCTTTGAAATAAACTAACAAAGATGAGAAGATTTTGTCAGATCGCATAACTCAAATTTCTGTTGTCTTCCCGGCATAGCTAAACTCATTAAGTTATGGATTTATTTGTAGTTTCTGCAGAAAGTGTTTGCAACCTATGATGGATAAGTGGGGAAGAAAATGGCCGAAAATGCAGGAAATATTATAGGGTAATATAACGGCAAGTAGATCACCTAGAAGGATCTAGGTGTGGACGATGATGAACAGATGAGTGACAGATAATATATTTTCATTAACTTTTCCCCAAATGGCAAATTACTTTCCACAGAATGTTTGAAAGTACAAACAGTTATTAAACCAAAATTAATTAAAAACCGAAATAGATAATAAAAACCACGATAGCTAAGATAAGTGATAGGTAAGTTTGGTCATTTTAAATGACTCATTTTCCTCCTATCTAATACATGCAAGATTCTTAGATTCCACCACAGTGACAGAAAAATTAGGTGTAGTTTAGTCTTTTTCCTCGGTTGATCATCAGCTTCTTAAGTCACGATCGAAGTTTCTTCTTCAGCGTCGGTAATCTCAGAGTTTTCATCTACACTTGCGCTT